AACGCTTAACTTCTTGACCACTGAGCCGGCATCCAGTGGTAATAGTGCCTAACATCAACCAATCCACAAAATTGTGCGACCATCTTCCATTGTACTGAGGTAGATACCTGCCTCTACCCGACACTGATTAGCTCCACTGGTCACGGATTCTCACTAGAACTTCGAGAATTCCCTCACGAAGCTAGTTACATGTTAATTATCTGTATATCGGGTTGTGGAGATTATTAATTTTTTGATTGAGATCATAAACCGACTGATATTAGACCACCGTTGGAAACGTGGAAGCACTAGACCGTCGTTTCATCCTATTTAGAGACTCCTCAGAAGTGCGCATCCACGATCCCGCTAGCGAGATTCGAACCCAGGGTCTTCGATTTCGCGCGCGAATGCTTAACCTACTGGACCACTGTACCGGCATCCAATGGTGTTAGTGTCCAACTTCAATAAATCCACAAAATTGCGCGACCATCCCTATGTAAACCGAATAGACTAAGAAAAGTTCAAGAATAAACCATGATATCAACAAGAAACAATATTACCTAGTCAAAACTTCTAGCGTTAAACGTACATCATAATTATGTATTGTTGTGATATCACAACGAGTAAAGATTTGTATTTTTGACGCTTCGTGATTTAATGTAAGATGCCTCTTCAGAGTAAACAAATCATACTCAAAAATGGACAGTAGCTAGCAGTGGAAACGCGCGTCCTAGATTCCACTGCTAGCCACCATCTATCATTGCTTATAAAGTTTGTGACTTAAGGCAATATTGAGGCAGTCCGCACAGGATGCACATAAGCCAACAAGAGACTGATCAATTGCAGTCTTAAACAACAATGGAAAGATACAAGCAAACAATAACAAGTGAAATAATAATAATGTTGCCTATATAATTATCGCCTTTTTAACTGCATTTCATTCTTAAAACTTATTTGAACATGTATCATGTGCGATTTTTAAAAAAATCTTACTGTAATAGGTTGAATTTTTTAGAGGTTGAATCAATTCGCTTATGTATTGAATCCGATGTTTCCATTTGAAAGTAAATAAAATAAACGACGTCAACATTCTTAGTAAACATCTCGCGGGGTGCGGGATCGTGGATGCGCACTTCTGAGGAGTCCCATGCTGGGACGAAACGGTCGTCCAGTGCTTCCAGGTTTTCCATGGTGGTCTAGCTTCAATTGACTCATGATTTCAATCACTGAAATTTCTAGAATCTCCACAAAACCCCTTCTGAGAACATTATATTAACCAACAAAATCCAAGTTCGACATTTTTATGAAAAATGTAAAACAATATTTTAAACTTTACTTGGTATTGTTTGCTTGAATCTTCCCATTGATTTTTAGGATTGCAATTAATCAGTCTCTTATTGGCATATATGCATATTGTTCATATTGCTTAAGTCACAAGCATTATAAAAAAAATAGTAATGGGTTAGAATCTCGAATGAACGTCAACTCTGTGATGCAGGTACATCCAGATGACGAGTATCAAATAGGACGAAACGCGCGCCCTGGATTTCACTTCTAGCCACTATCGATCTTTGTTTATAGTATTTTAAGTATTTGGTTGAAGACGTTTCATACACCTGTGTACCATTAAAATCCGGAAAACGATGGATAGCTTCTTCACCCTAATATTATGTTTCTTTATAGAGTATACACACGACTCCCCCGTGGATGAAACTCATGACTTTTAGGTCTTGCAACCAGTAAGGTAACTTTAGACCACTACTAGGTCGGAATCCAAAGATTCTGCTATTTTGCTAGACAATCTTCTGATGCTATTGATGAGTAGTAATCTCGTAAAACTCCACTGGTCACCCGGTGGGAACATACATGCTCTCTGTTCAATTGTCTAGTCCCCCCTCCTCAATTATAAATAATATATTATAATCTCAAGAAAGAAACATACTATTTGGTAAAAACAATATAAGTCAAAATTGTTTGAAGTGGATAATCAGGTGAACCGAAATTTTAATATTTACAAAGAAAAAAAAAGCCTTTTTTCATTACATAAGGTCAAAACTAATGAATACTATGTATGTTTGGTAAAAACAGGTAACTGTTAAAATGGCTAAAATTCACTGAGGAGCCTGAAATGGCAACTTCTGTAACGTCAATTGAAAACTTATCAGAAAAGAAAAGCATTAATCATCTGAAAGAATATACACATCAAAAGAAATTATGTCAATTATTTATGAGTATAATATATAAGCAACTTAGATTGCTTAATTGCAAAGCTTTCATAGTTGTTCCAGATAACATAGTTGTAACGGAGATAATCCTGGTAATGTTGTCACTTTTGAAAATGTTTACGGAATTCAATCAGAGATGGCTGGCAGTGAAACCTAGGACGCGCATTTTGTCCTATTTTGGACTTATCAGCCGAATGCAACCGCTTATAATGCTTGGTAATATCGAGAGTATCTGCACAGAATGCACATATGCCATTAAAATAGACTGGTAAATTGCAGCCCTCGACTTTGATGATAAGATTCAAACAACAACAAGAAATTATTTTTTGGATAATCATTGTTGATATCTTTATTGTACCATTAAATAAGTAGTTTACTGTAATCACTATACTTACTGCATTATAAGCTTCCGTTATTAATTATGTACTGTTTTCTCCGTTCTGTCACATATGGCTTGATTGTATGTTGAAGATAACTTTTTATTTTCGATGCACTGTAATCTGATAATCCATGTACCCGTGTGGTGCTTGCTACTTATATTGATATAAGTAGTATATGATCGAGTTAGAAGATGGGGAAGATCAAGAAAGGAAGAGCGGGAATAGAAAGCAATTAGTATGGAAATGCAAGAACAATGAATTTCGAGACAATTATTGAACATTTTGCGAATTAAGTATGATAGTGTGGTTTTTCTATTTTACCAAGTAACTCTGTAATTTTGTGTTAAATATAATTCGACTGTCCCCACCCGTGTTCTGTTTACTACACCCGAACTAATGATTGTTCAAGACAAACAAAAAGGACTGGGTACCTGAAATACAGAAAATAGAAGTTTGCTTACAATATTCTTTTATTCAGCTTACGACTGAGGATAAAATGCATACACTCTGGACGACCAGTAAGAGTGAATATTGTCTGTGCTTCAAGTGAACAATAATCCTACTGATCAAAACACTATAAGCAAAATAGTACATGTGAAATAAAGAAACGCAACCTGAGTTTTATTTGGGAAACTTTCACTAGATATCGATCAACACCCCGTTCAACACAACCTAAAACATGTACATAAGATATTGAATTCATGATAATTTCAGTGTATTCAACCAATTAGGTATGACTTGCCAAATATTAAATAATTAATCAATGACGAAACTAACAGTTATAATGACCTTTCACATGTACCTAATGTGACAGTATTGTATGTGATCCAGTGTTCTTTTACAGAAAAATGCATAGTTCTGCAGACTAAAGATCTTGATATTAGTTGACAAAACGCATATCAGATGTACCGAATAGGAAAAATACTTACGACTTTTATAAATTGCCGAAAATTACCACCAATGAGATGTTATTGACTTGACTGAAGTTAAAAATATGAAGTATTGGATGTCAACTCATTATGAGACATGGAGGTCCTGGGTTATATCGATGGAAGGGAAGCGGATACTCACAGTTGAGGAGCTCCATACTAGAATGAGACAGATGTCTACTAACTTCTAGTATTCAACGGTTATCTAAGTTCTGTTCGTAATGTAAAACTACTTGAATGTAGTCAGCTTATCGTTGTCACACAATGTCTCACCACTAAAAGCATGTCTCATAGCCAAATACAGTGACTGAGTTACATAAAATCCTCTCACCATGATATAAACACATGTATCGTAAATAGCTTAAGATATAGATTATTAATACAGTAATTGGCATGAACGATTATAATCTCAATAGAAATTTGATATTACAGATGGTTTAAAATATCCCCCCCCTCGCAAGTATACTACGATTATATTTATATATATATGGATCCAATATATATATATATATATATATATATATATATATATATATATATATTGGATCCATGATTCATAATTCAGAACAGAGAACCACATTATTGACTAGACAATACTCTAATCCATACAATTACAAGCAGTCAGTCCGGAGTAGAAATCAATAGGAGGTAAGAGAACCACATCATTAATACTTAGTAGGCTAAGTGTCTCTTTGTCCATGCTCAATCATATTTTACTTTCACTACCACATATCAAAATTATATTAATCCATAGATCCATTGAAGACAACGCCCATTGATTCATAATGAGAAATAAAGAAATAATTTCACAAATTCAACATTTGTATATATTCATAATTAAAGTTAGCCAACGTATCAACAACAACCAAACTAGTCTACACTAAATCCATGAAAAAGATCAGTCATAAACAGTTCGTTTGTATTGGTTATTAAAATCTTTCCATTGAAGTTTAGAACTGCAATTGATCAGTCTTTTTCGTCATATGTGAGGATTACTATTATGTTACAAGCACTTCTAAGAAGTGAAATCCATGAACCGCGTTCCATTCTATTTGGGGCTCGTCGGCCAACCGTAACCGCGCCCCAGAGTGAACATCCACTCTGGAATGATGAAACGCGGATCCAAAATTCTACTGTCACCCACTGTTCATCTCTTCTTACAGTGATAAACATTATTATTCGACGAGAAGGAATCCGACTCTTACATATAGCAGAAGTCATAGGAATACACATAAGAAAATCTAACCTTCCCATACAGAAAAAGTATATACAACCTTTGGATCTATCCCGGTCTTCTACTTAGATACCATTACATGACTAAGACTTCTCTTCTCTTAAAATCTTCCGAACTTCGACCTCGTTAACATTTTAAGTACTAATTCAAATCTTACATAACCTGTCTATTAATTATGCTATCTAATTTTCATTGCACCAATCCTACTAATTACTAATCTTCAATTTGACAGATAACAAAAAAAACGTATTTACATCCAATTTTAATTATGCAACTATTTGTAATAGTTAACTGATTATCATCTAATTGGTATCAACTTTCTACTAACTTATAAAACATATATGTTTTAGGGGAAATCACCAAACTGCAGCACAAAGCAAACTGTAACTTAAAATTCTAAAAAGAAACGGGAAAGAGGAAGACCAAAGAACCCATTGCATCGAGAATTGGAAATAGGCATGGAAAGAACAAATAACAACTGGGGAAGGATTATCCAGGATAGAATTCGATAGAGAATGCTAGTGGGCTGCTCTTAACGCTCCTCCACAAGGAATAACAGGCATACGTAAATAAGAGCCTTGATAAAGAACTAATTGAAAAGAAATATTTCTTGGTTTAAAACTTGTCTTTTTCATGTTTCAATGAGAATAATTTAACAATCTTAAAACTTAAAAAATTTTGAATAAAACGAGAGATCACATTAATTACAATGATAATAGTAATAATATTAAATACAATAATAATATCAATGAAAGTAAGCGTTGAAATGATTAAATGGTCATTGAGAATGATTGAAATAATTAAAAAAAAGTGATATAAAAACAAGTTTTGTTTTTAAAGTACATTAACACTAAGTTTTGTAGACCATTCCTATCACTAAGGGTATTTGGGGGCATCACTACTACTAAAGACAAAGGGGAGAATGTACATTAATGAAGTGGGGTGGAGTATAGACAAATAAAACAACAAAAAAATAAAATAAAACCGGTTAAATGAGAATACAATTGAAATGTATCATCATGATCATTATCATTTCTATAGTCAGTATAGTTTATATAAATTAGGAATGGATATAATTAAAAGATCAAAAAATAATACAGATATTTCATTGTATATTTGCACATATAAAAACTGTGTATATATCTTATTGAAAATAATTATGAATCAATCATTAAGTAATCATTGTAATTATCCTTATTGTTATTATTATCTAATTAATAGATGAGTAATTATTCCATGATTTTGTACGAACAATCGATGTTTTCTGTAATAAATGTTCATGTTCTTGATCAATTGATGATGGACAATTAGAATGACTGAATATACCACTGAATCTATGATTATGACCATCACCATTATTATTATTATTATTATCATCATCATCATCATCATCATTATCACCATCATCATCATAATCATCATAATCACTAGAATCAAAAGTATCTGTATGATCAAGTGAATATGGTTCAGAGAATTCACTTCTATCTGGTATATCCTCTTCTCTAATTATTATTGAATCTGTAGAATTTGGACAACATGGTAATAAAGTTATATCTAATACACGATTATGAATTAATGTGCCAATAATGAGTAGTGCGAAACCGTCGACTAAAATAAAAATTGTGGAAAAAGTATAAACATAAATATAGAGAGGTTAATAATAACAGACATTTAAATGCATATATGGAAATCAGTCAGTCAGTCAGCTACAACGAAGGACAAGGCACATATATGCATTGGTCCAAGTTGCCATACCTCATTAGCACAACAAGATGAACATCAGATTCATAGGAGTAGTTAAGTCAATGGTGGTAATATATAAAAGAAAGATTACATATAAGGATATAGTACAGGAAAAAAGAATGAGTTAGTAGAAAGAAAGATAAAAAGTTATTTTAATCTCACGGTTTAACGGAAGACAAATAGTGTATACACCATCACCGTTGTGATCGATTCTGAGCCATGTCACTTAGAGTCTCCAACCACTGGTTACGATAGTCACGTGGACCCCAACCAAGTAGTCCGCATCTACCAACATGGCTCAGACCAGAAGTTAGTATCTTCAAGCACTGATGCCACGTTTTCCTTTGGCCGCCCCTAACTGAGTAGCAACTGAAAAGGATTTCCAAGAACGGAGTTCGATGGAGAATACTGGTAGGCAGTCTATGCTTCTCGAAGAGGGGTAACAGGCGCAAATAAGTTGGAAATGATAATTCATCATGGGTAGGTTAGTTTATTGATTAGTGAATTTTGTATACCTTTAATTATTGCGTAGATACTTTATAATTACCGAAATAGAGATGGAGGATGTTGAATGTCGTGATTTTTTCAGTGTTCACCTTAAAGCTTTCTAATATTTTATTCAAAAAAACTCTGGGAGAACATAAGGTCAATGAAAATACTTATCCACTACATGTTAACATTTTATTTCTCTATTATATATATACAGGATTCTCCAAAATCTCATGCATTTCAAACATTCTTCAATAGTATACCTTTTGAAATTACTCATTAGAAAATACATAAATATTGCATCAAAACTCAGAAGTCCCTATCTCGAACCTGATTATTCTGAAAGTATACTAAATTTCCGTGAAGAAAACTATTCTCAGTGCAGTTGTAGTATATTTCTCTTCAGTTGCTTATATGTTTACCTTTACTGAATCACAGTTTTTTAAAACTGAAAATCAACTTGTTTATAACAAAAACGACAAGATATTTTAACTTCATAACAGTTATGCAATGTTTCCAATTCAATACAAGGTTGATGAATGTTATAGAAAGAATAATTTATCTATTAATTGGTACTATATACTATGGTTAGTATACAAGCAAAGAAGGAAAATCCAGGTATCACTAACTTTCAATAAGACCCCATCCAATATTGAATGGTTCTCCATATGGTGGACCGATTCCATAGTATAAAATTAAACTGCAAATCCATACCAGTGCAGTACGTAAAGAATCTATCAATGTTCGGTGAATAGCTAAAATATTAATGAAAATTCATGAGTAAATATAATGATTTAGTATTAAAAAGTATCGTGCAGGGCAGATGGGGGTGAGCTATCAACTTCCACCCTAATCAGATTCCATATGATTTCGTTTGGTATGACAACTATATTCCCTGTATCAATACAGGTGGAGTATATTCGGTGTGTTTTTCCAGCTAATCAGGAACGAGTGGGTGGTTTCAAGGTCATAGTACCTATTTCAATACACTAAGCTCACGTACGTCCAATTTACAGAGGATTTCAACGAGGATGTTATAGTTGAGCGGCTAAAATAGATGGAGTTACTTGTCAGTTTCTTTATTTGTCATTGCAATGTCCAAATAACTGCTGGACATTGTGCAGACTATTGTGACAATGTTTTATTTGGATGTAATGTATGTTGGAGGTAAAGGCTTGCTAGAACTAGTACTTTTCTCTCTCAATCTCAATCGACACTAAAACATTATGATGACTGTTACAAACTGGATAATAAGAGCACCAGTAACACTGGCTGCAACGTTTGCAGATGTTACTGAAGTCTCAGCAGTCCAATGGTACGATTACTGTCGAGATATGTACAATGAAAATGACAAGCTTGCATCAGTCGTTTGAAGGAATCGAGAGAATCGTAGAAATCGACAAAACGGTTGTTATAAAACTCAAATTCAATAGATAAAGAGGTGTTCAAGAAGACTGGGTAAGTAGCACTTCCTTAAATATACTTAGCATGTCCTTGGCATATTATAGATCGTCTCAAAACGAAAACTTCCAGCACGTGAGAAAACAGTAAGTTAAAACTATTATACCAATTATACAAGAGTATGAGAAACAAAATACCACAATATACACAAATGACTAGAGAGCATATAGATGCCTATCTAACCTTGGTTACGTGCATCGTATCATCGTTCGCAAGCGATATTTTCTAGACTCCATCACAGGAGTTCACACCACTAATATAGACACGATATGATCGAGGCCAAAAGAATGTTTGCGACCTTAACATGGCTCCGGAGGTCGACTGTTATGGAGTCACATAAGTGAGTTCCTGTACAGTATCCAATACGATTTCAGAACTGCAGAACCTCTTTGTAAGTTTGAAAAATATTTAAACCACGTTAAAGAAGTGTATCCGCTGTAATTTCTCGGTTTCGTATAATATATTCTTACATTATACCTACTGTTTTCTGATTGACTGAAATTTCTCAAGGTCACTCAGGAATCGTTCAAAGGTCGTCCATAAATTACAATCTTGTTAATTAAATCTGCTTAAACACTTGAACAATATTTTAAACTTTGTTTTCTGATCAAATATACATATAAAACTTACAACTAAGACTTCGAGCAATTGATAGACCACAATAGTTAAATATTGCAATGGAAAAGACATAAATAATACAATTGCCTAATAGAATATAGTTATTTCCAATTTGATAAATTGCATCGATAACATTTTCATATGAACCATTTAAATCATTTCCAGGAATAAAATGAACAGCTGGTAGTACAATCTAAGTAATACACAAATGATACAATTAAACATCTCAAGACGTATATAGATATTAATAATGGTTATGTTTACGCAATCGTTAATAAGTTGAAACATCTGAAATTACATAATCTGACGTGGAAAAAAGTTGCGATTCTGTATAACTAACTTAATTAGCTTAAGTTATCAATCATTTACCAATCCGAAAGGGCGTGGGTTCGAATCCCACCTCCATCACAACCTTTGCCCACAAGTACCCTGGTACGGCCGAGAGTGGGGAAAGTCAGCTCTCCCTCTCCAAATACTCTCACATAACCACGTGCATACAACCTCTGCCACGGAAGTCCTACTCACTGCCTTCTCGCAGTATTAACTTTGTTTACGAAATTCAGAGAACGAAAAGCGAAACTCCGGCGCTTTAACCGGGTCGGCAGACACGGAGAGTCCACCTAGGGGAGTTGCGGAACCCTGATTACAAACCAATGGTAACATGGACCCTAGGATCCTAAAGAAACAAATGGCGTATGAACCAATCGTTGGTCACCGGCTACTATGGGACTGCATCTCCTCACGTTGCTCCACTGCCTTGTGGATCAGACCCTTCGGTCGAAGACTCCGGGTGTGGCCCCCTAAGGAAACCACCTGCTTCGGTTTGGGCACCCGAGCAGTATTCCAACCCCCATACAAATCGACTGATTTATGTGGCACATATCTATTTGGTGCCTCTTGTACCAATGTGTTTAAATAAATAAATAAATAATAATAAGAGAAACAAAGGCTATTATTTATATATTACGTATTATAAACTTATTTGCCAGATAGATACAGATTGGTGTAACTAACTTGGAACCACACTCGATGTATAAGGACTAGTGATACTCTGCCCGGTTGCATACACCAAAGTAGGTGGGGCGGGGTTTGAACCTGAGATCTAGTGACTGGATATCAAATTCCTTAACCTTTGAGCAACTACTCCATAACACTTTAAAACGATTTCTTTATAAAAATTTAAAGAAATAATATGATTTGGTGTAGAATTCCGATTTCTGAGAATAAATAATGATATATATGGATGATACTTTAGTCATTTTTTGGCAAGAATTTTAACTTAATTAAAATTCCATATTCCTTTAATATTTCCTATCGTTACCTAGATTTCACATAAGTAAACGAAATAGGTTATCCTATCTGGTTTTTTGAAGTGTTTCTAACAAGGAGTGATGGATTCATGAAAACGATAATTTATAGAAAGCAAACACTGAATAGTCGGTTAACCAATTTCTATTACTGAGTTCTATTAAGCGGACACAGAAATCTTTTTGATTCTTTATGTTATTGAATATGTAGAATATGTAATGCTGTATTAGCTGAGAAAGAAATTGATTTCCCGGAAAACGACTATTCAAGCGGATTCGTCAAGAAAAATCGGAGCAAAGACTCGAGGAATTCCGTAATACATAAATAGCTTTACATAAATCTAACAATGAAAGATAGCTTAACTTTTGATCACCTTCAGAGTCAGTTGTTTACAGCAATTGAAACGTTCTGTAAAGCAAAACTCTGGCTACCACTCACAGGCAAGAATATTTTTTTCCGTATCAGTAAAGGCTACGCATGTGTCCGATCGCTAGATAGGCTGTAGCGAGTGTTTGCCTTAAACACAGGTAGCGAAACATATTCCGGTACCGTTATAAAAAGATATGAGAATAATTAGGAGTTTTATCCTTGAACGTTTAGTCAACTCTAATCGCTCAACTAACTCAAGAGTTGATTTTAAGGTCATTTACAGAAATTGTCAAGATCTACAAAAAACTACTCTTACAAAACTTATAAAAACACCAGAAGCTCTAACGAAACATGAAATAAAGCCTAAACTTAAAATCCAAAAACCATGCGTCTAATACTTGAACTCTCATTAATTCATTTGAACACCAAAATATTGGTAAAACGGGACACTAAAATATACAGCTGACATACAATAAAGATTAAAATGTGAAGAGATACAAAGAAAAGAAGGCAAGTATGAAAAAACAAAATAGCGAATAAAAATTAGTGAGTGACGGTGAAAAACAAAAATAATAATGGAGGAATCCTTCCAGTTAAAGAAGTTCCTCACACTCATATGAAGAAGTAAAAGAAAACCACAAGACGAACGCCACTGGCTTCCATTCCGAGCCACATATGATAACGCTTCAAGCCACTGTATTGCACTTTCTCTCGGACCTCAACCAGAGAGTTGTGAATAATCGACAGACTCCAATACTGCACAACTTTCCTTCACAATCCAGCACACTGTTATCAACTGAACTGTAGTTACGGTGCCCGAATACACATGGCCGAACCTCTGCATTACCAACATGGCATTGTCACTGAATTTCACCAACCTCATGTTGACAACGATGATCAAACATACAGAGTAACTTAACACTCTCAACTCAGACAGGTCGGGTTTCACAAGCATAGAGAATAACTGTTCTCCTCGACAACTTGTATATCCGACCTTTTACAGCCAGACTAACATCACGAATGCACCAAAGATGGCCAAAATTGGCATAAACCGCTTTCGCTTTCACTATACACGAATTGTTCTCATCACTCACACAACTACTCAAATACACAGAAGTCTCCAATACTTCGAACTGCTCACTACCAATAGTGAGTACAAGCACACGCTACTGTCAGTTTTGTAAGAGTACTTCGCACTCAAAAGGTATAAAGCACATGCCATACCTACAGACACTGATTGTCAAATGATTAAGTGTGGATTGTACGGATCGGGTATCATCATGCAGTAAGAAAATATCATCCACATGCTCATTGTCGCAAAGTCTTTCTTCACTTAACAGATCCACACCACCACTACCTACTTCCATCTGAGATGTTTCCAGAACATCACCAATGGCAAAGTTGAGGAGGGATGGTGAGATCGGACAACCCTACTTAACCCCACTGCTTAAATGGAACGGTCGAAAGACGTGGTTGTATTCTCTCACTCAATATATATCAAGTGTTTGCATACAGACTCTTCAATATATTAACAAACTTCTCTGGCACACTCTTCCTCAACAGACAATTTCAGAGGACATTCCTGTTCAACGAGTCTAAGGCCACCCTGATATCAAGAAACACAACCACTCTTGGCCTGCAGTAAGTATCGCGGTGTTTTAACATTTGGTGAAGGGTTGAGATATCAGCAATACATCGTCGATCGAAACGAAAACCAGTCTACTCTTCGCGCGTCAATCTTTCACAGGTCTTGAACAATTTTCGAAGTATGACGGAAGTCAATAGTTTGGACGTAACGAGAAGTAAATTTATCTCCCGACAGTTGTTAGATAGGTGACGTGAACCTTTTATAAAAACACCGAGGACTATCATATCTTTCCAGGATGTTGGAACATTCTAATTGCCAAGTGTTTGCACTTAACTCACTTAGTTCATTGTCGAGGAGTTTGACACCTTAAAACTGCCCGGAGGTAATTCATCAGATCCGGTGAATTATGGAGCTTCAGGATTTGGAGTTTCTTCCACATGGTTAGGTGGATTAGTCTTCACTGACCATGAACAGGAAAGTTTGATTGATAACCCTGGGCCCTGGAACTACTGGTATTTCTACCATTTCAATTTCATTTCATCGAATTTGTATTTTAAAATGTCCCTTTCCTTTTGTTTTTTTTTCATACTCCCATGATTGTATTCATAGATATTTCTGATATAACTTTATTTCATTTCTTTGATACCTTTTACTATCTTGACAAAAAGCACACTAATTATCCTACTCCATTCACATTATAATTGATAGTTTATTAATTTCACACACTTATTTGCACACATATTGTAGGAGTTACATGACCTTTTACTATACTATCATATATAGTAATGGCTTCCTTTACTACTATGTTTAGTACGATATAAAATTTTCATGTTATTACTTACGATATATAAACTAATATTACAATCTTTTTATTACATCATCACGTTTATTTAATTATATTTCGTCACGGTGTTAATACTCAGGATTATATATATATATATATGAGAATTAACAATCTGAAACAAGTAGAAATCAACTTACGCCAGACATTAAAATGCATCCAAAGATCCCTTCCATACCAACAGCTTGTAAAGGATGGAAGCCACGTTTTTTCAAAAAAACCTCTTCTATTACCATTTGTGTAGCAGAAGTGAACGCACCGGCTAATACTAGTATCAATCCTATTTTTTAAATAAAAAAGAAATTGGTTGTATAAAGAATAATTTTCCAATACTTGTATATATTGTAATAAAAAGATAACAACATAAATCCTACAAATTGGTCATTTTCAAGTTAATTAAAACTCCATGTTTACAATGAGAACTTAAATTCAATGGATGTGATATCGATACCATCTCTGAGACCCTACAAAAGATAAGATTTATATGACAACTGAACAAGACAATAACTTCTAAATATTCGTATATATAAACTTACAGAAATCAGTAGTTATTTTATAGTGTTATGAATATCCCATTGAACGACTTTTTCGACAGTAAAAAAAAGAATAATTCATACATAACACAAAGATTTCATTTGCCAATTAGTCAATGGCCTCTACTTCACTATACATGGAAGTTGTACTGTACAGGAATTTGACAGTATTAAGTCATTTCCCTCAAATAACCAACATACGAAAGGAAGAGGCTAAAAAAGGTCAACCCTATAGATGTCACACTTCACTTTAATTTACGGTTTTCCGGCTTGGGCAATAAGTCTCTTTGGTGTACGAAATTGACACATTGAAATCTGATTACAAAAAATGTCGTACGTGACTGGCTTTAGGCAGTTGTCCCTTTGGCTCTGCAGCCACACTCATAGGTCTCTAAGATCACTACCAATTAAGTTTTCTTTACATGTCTCTCAAAAAGAAATAGTTATCCATGATGCGGGAGACTGGCAAGTGACGATCGTCCTTATACCTCTAACGGCACCCGAGGTCCTCTTGTTCACTATCGAATTCCTCTGTCACCCCAATATTTCTCCTGTCCTGACGAATTAACCTTCCTATTGACCTTATTGCCATGCATCACTAAAGCTAACTATCCGACTTCACGGAATTTTATTCCTAGTCTCCTACAGCCACCCTCTAAACTACATGTTGAACTTCTCAATGTTCGAACCAAATATGGCACCAGGCTTCCTTAGCTAGGACTTTAGAATCGTATCCTATCAGTGTATGCCATCTTAGAAACAGGCATAAAAAGTCCAAGAACAGTTATTCTCTAGACCTCACATAGTCAATACAGAAAACCAGAGATTCACCCTCTGTATATTTAGGGACTTGGCTGCTAGTTTTCGTGACTTAGCTAGTGTAGACATAGGACTGTGTTGAGAACCAGAACAAACTCTCCAGGTATCGGGGATTTTAACTCCTCAAACAAATATAAAAGGGAATCAACTTTTAAATTCATGCATTCATTAACCTCCGGTGATGACTGTTCAGTTGATAATGATTAAATTAAAGTGGATGTAAACTGATTATTATTTGGTTCTTTTTAATGAATCTTTCTGAACAAGGTATGTCTCTTTGAGTACCTAGGGGCAGATAATAGTAAATCTATTGTATACGGTATCGAAGTTGTTAGAGTTAGCATTGTTCTCCCGAAATCCGCGACACATGAACTGTGTTCCGACGGATAGTTGTTTGCGTGCCGTCTGATTGAACGGAGCAGTAAGAATAAGAAAAAAGAGATACACACCGTTTTCTTTGTTTATGCTCCCAATGACTTTTGTTCAGATAAAAAGCTGAATTTCGTAGAAAGCTTTCCACTCTCTTTTAAAAAGCTAAACGCTTAGATGCACTAATAACACCAGGTGATTTTAACGTCCAAGTAGGTAGTTTAAACCAAATTGATAGACCCTTGATTGAATTTTACACAGAGCAGATAACGGCAGCTGGTTGCTCAAATGACGATCAAACAACCGTTTATCTCTAACAAGTAACAACTTTAAGCATAGGAAAAGACATTGTCTAACATGGTGCCCCCATAAAATCGATCCACCGAGGAAGCTAAATAAACCACACTGTTACCAGGTATTGTTGGGTAGGCTTAACAGAAAACTGCCGGTCATTCTAGAGGAAATGTTTAGACTGTGACCATGATCAACTGAGAGCACGTGTTTATTTGTATCTTAGTAGACAAAGAAAATCTACAGCAAGAAGACTCATTAAAGTTCAGCTTAACGACTAAAGAGTCAACAATGTACTTCAGGAACAACAAGAGAAGCAGTTATTCAACCATAAAAGTGATATAGACTCCGAAGTAGCTTGGAATGATGTTCAAACAGCAGTGAGATTTACCAGTAACTTGAACCAAATTGTTAAGAAACATTACTGGATTTCTACAGAGATTCTCTGAACTGATAACAGCTTGGAAATTCATCTCGTCAGGCTCCGAACGCGACTAGGAGTAAATGCAGCTTGAATGCGGTGACGAAAATTAGTGAGCCTGAGTAGTAGTTGACAGATTAAGTAAAAGAAATGGAAAACGTATATGTAATGGGTAACAGTAGACAACCGTTCAAACCTAATAAAGAAACAGTTGTTAAAAATCCCGCTATTAGTGAAATTATCCCGGAAAAGAAGAAACTGATATTCACACTCAGTCTGGGAAGTTAGAATGATGGGGATAACACTTAAGGGAACAGTTTAAGTGGCCTCCAAATGTCCTCAATTTATCCAGTATCTTCAAACAATCTGTAAATCTAGAATGATAAAATTGAGTTAACCAACAGTGTTTGAGTTAAACGTTCACCACTTAGGACTCATTTAATCTCAAACTGGTTATTATCATTATTATTATTACTTTTCTTACTAAACTACCAGCCATAGAGTCACACTAGTTTTCTACATAAACATGACTAACCCTTTTGTTGATTCATTTTTTTATCCTTGTTACATTTAGTTGGTGTGTATTTATTGTTCCCTTTGTAATTGGCTGTACTATTTTGCATTTTGGTAATATTTGTACTGATTTACGTTCTAGAAACAGATCATAATTGTTTACTATATACTTAGTTACCTATTTTGACTATAATCCTACTGGGACCCAATTTGCGACAATATGGAGACTTATTCAGGAAATTCATTTGTATGCAAATCAAATCCTACACACCCTGAGCAGGGAATCGACACAAGCCCATCAACTCTTAATGAGGCTGAGAAGGCTACAGGTAATCTCACGCGGAGGAGATCAGTAGACCATGATAGATTAACGCCGATCATTGAGGATAGTGGTCCAGTTTTAGATGTTAAACTGACTGAGATACTGACTGAAGCTTGGGAATAGAACGTAATCCTATGTTACTAGTCTCGATTGTTGATCGCCCCATCTCGCAAGAAAAGATAAAAATGTTATCGGAACAACCATCAAGGAATCAGTTTGACTAACACAATACGTAAAATATTAGCCTCAGTAAGCATCCAACGCCTAACCAAGACTAGTGAAGAGAAAACCTGAGAAAACCAGGCTGGTTTCAAACTTGGGCGTGGATTTATGGGTCAAATATTTGCCCCTCGTTAAGTTCTGGAAAAGAGATATGCTTTTCGACGTCCAATCATAGTTATATTCCTTAAACTTAAGGCAGCATTCGACTTTGCTGATCGAGTGGTTCTATGACCATGTTTATCATTAAGAAGAGTATCAAAGTATATAAACCTTGTACAAGCTTTCTACTTGAACACTACTGACTGAGTTAGTGTTTATAGAAAACTGTTATCAAAATTGTTAACCTCAAGCGGGTTTTTTAAAGGTTGTTCACTTCCTCCACCTTTATCTAACTCAGTCATAGACATTCTTCGAGAAGTAATGCTATCATAGTCTGACTTTTCAGGAATTGATCTACTACCGAGAGGTTTACTTACTGAATTAGGATACACAGATAAAAATAGTTCGATCTGGTGAAGACTATGATGAAACGAAGTCTCCTAATTGCCTTGAGTAATGATGCAAACACGTTTGAGATGCGATCCTATCTCCCTAAATGTAAATTGTTGCTTCAGGACTAGTCTGAGTCAACGCCCAAACTAATGATAGGGAGTGAAATAGTTGTGTTTGAGGTGGTTGTGATATGTGCTACGTATGCCAAACCTAAATGTGGCATCAGTCCATAAGATCACTGCCAATTGGACTGAGTCATAGAATTAAGTGTAAACTATACGGTTGGGGCCTGCCCGATTATTCTGATCAATGGTTTAAGATTTTGGTTGGCATGGCTCAGAATTGTCTGAAATGGCTTAAGTGCATTCACTCCGCCTTTCTTTAAGTCCCAAATCCTAAAGTCTCGTATACTTATATTTCTTCATATATCTAATTTTCCATACTAGTAATAGTATTACAACCCTCACTACTTTGAGATTTGTCTTGGTAATTCTATTACAAGATACTGATGTGGTGCAGTAACTTAAACCGATTTACATATGAACCAGGTTCTACGTTGGATGTGACTGACTGACTTCAACGTTTTTCTTATATTCGACTCATAAACTAATTTCTCACTGAAAAGTACCAGTGAATTAATGAGTTTTTTAAACATCATTATTGGTATACTGAATATCACGCAAGGCTAAATAAGTCACTTGCATGATCACTTGTTATCCAGTTGTACATTAAATTGATTATTGAAACGGCACCAATTAATGTGGACCCATAATAACAGTTCATATGTTTATCAAAGGCTTTAATAGAATTGAAAAATGAAATTATCACCAGTTACATAAAAGATGTACTAAATTATAAAATAGAAGTGCAACATCAAAATAAATTAATATACCTATTATTGATTGTAAAGTGGTTGCTTTCACTGAATTTGCACTGAATACAGACTTTGAGCCAACAAGAGCCAATCCAAACACAGTGATCAAAATTCCAGTCCACTGAAAGTAACGCAAACGCCGCTTGAGAAAGATGACCTGGAGGAATAGAAGTAGTAAGGTGCAGCATAGAATTCACGTCTTTAACAATTTCAAACATGAGAAAAAATATAATTAGTATTTTTAAAAATATTGTTATGGATAAGCAATGATTACGGTGTTCTACCTCTATCTCTCTAGCAATAATAATGAGAATGTAACTAATTTACTAAGTACAGATTTGTGATCGACTTCAAGGTATATTGTTTGCCTATAGGTTAGCAGTACTAACCCGTTGATGATGCGGGGTTCCAACTATAGAGTTGTTTGTTAAGGTCCAATTGAGTTAACAACTAGCTTCTCTGTAAATAAAAACAGATTAGCTGAGATGGTCGGGTAAATGTATGTGTACTAGTTATGCCAAAGCATTTCGAAACTAAAACTAAATGATATGTTTTATATGAGGATCCCCAGTAATAGGATTTTATGAACTATCATGAGATTAAACTTCAGACTTTAAAAATAATCGGCACTTGGTTTGACTCTTCAGCAGCCGAATGTGACATTTTTTATAGTAAGAGTATTTTAATGAAATTTAAAACAATTAGTTCCTTTGATAAATTTCGATAATGCAATGAGAAGACGAAGTTTATCAGAATTATGTGGTATATTTGAGCAATACATCTCGAACAATCTGATCACACATATACTTGTTAAGAACATTTATATATGAAAATTAAAGGTCAACTAGACAGGTTAAGGGAGAGTCATAACAAAGGAAAAAATATTAAAGTACACAAAAACAAGTGATTACCGCTCTGGATAATATATCAGTATATGAGATACATGTTATAGAGCTTAAGTTGAAAAGTATATTGTCAGTCAATTATTAGTGGATTTCGCATCTAAAGTCGTACTTCGCATAGTATTTCGTTAATGACCGCAACTAAGAAAATTTATCAACCAGTGTTTATTTCAGTATGAATATCACGTATAAATAAAATAATATTTACAAACATCCCAAGACATGTGCACAGATGAAACAGCAATATTTGTCTGTTACGCAGTTGAAATATAGCTTAGTAGTCACAGATATGCGACGGGTTGTATAGATTAAAACTGTTGCTTGTGAAGTCGTGTATATTGTGTAGTAATAGTGAGGAGTATCATAAAACATAAGTAATGGGGATTTCGGTAAGGGAATGAACATCATGACATACCAGAATTTCACGCATAAAACAGCTAATTGAGTGGACTGTTTGGATGATACATAATAGCCACTGAAAAGTAATTGCAACCATAATAATATCAAATTTAGGAACTACGGTATGTTGTAACTTTATCAGTCATTGCCTAAGTACACCGATAACTTGAACAAAAACAAAAACACACTGAATTCAGCATAAGTAAAATTAATTTCAAGAACGAAACATACAGAAAGAATACCAGCAAATACGATAAGTGATCCTCGTAGCATTTGCCAGATAGATGCATCGATATACAGAAGACCAATACCTAACAGTAAGATAATTACAAGTTGCATACCTGCTAATGTTGAACCCAATAGATCACAACATGTTGGCAGTATAAAAATCCAGTTGAAAACACTGTAAATGAACAGCCATTACATGATCAACTCACGGTGTGCTTACTACGTTTGGACCTCTTGATTCTATGAAACTAGCACCATGTAGTGCATTTCGTCTTTTTTTTCTGCACCTCATTGCCAGAAAAGCGATAATACAAAAAGCTTCCCCAAAGAACATGAGCAAAGTCTGAAACCATGGTTTATTAAAATAATGAGGTGAACGTGTGTTATTCGCAGTGTGATTGAAGTATCCACTAGCACTAGTTAAATTATCAAATGTATTTCTGAAGAAACTTACATGCAGTCAAGCTGAACCTTTTTGGAAATTGTGTTAATAGTCCCGGAAAAAAGCATCCCAAAGATCAAAACATACTGTTTCACGGAAAGGGCCATTGTAACGAACATCAAAAACAGGCCGCGTATATGAAGGTCAAATGAGACAAAAACCTCAAAATTTCCTGGACACGATGGTGAATTTTTCGCTGCTTAGGGTTTGGGTGTGATTGCAGAAGGTCGTTCGCGATCACAATCAGGTGCATTTCTCATTTGTTCTTCCAGAACCTAAAGAGGAAACTCAGGTGATGGTCTGAGAGTTTGAGCAAGAACGCCTACAATAATCTCCTCCATTACCATGTAATGTTCAGTCTTTGGTAGAATTGAATCTAACCTGGACGTATCTTGTGTGCTGGAGGGGTTGTTGGAAACTCTAAGCGAACTTATCTAGAGGAGAAAAGAAAGTCAACAACTCAATGACCACACAGAACGCGCGTATATGCTATAACGAAAGCAATCGACAACAATCAGAAATAAAGAAAGCATGAAATTAAGATAGTCTGTTAATCATAAAAAAAGGTCAATAATGTAGGTTTTTGAACGTGTTACAACCTAAGTAACAGAAGTAAAGGCCGGGCTTTCTCTTGTGAACTTCACAGGAAAGTATCGCTTCCAGTTAGAAATGCACCATCGTGTAAAACCCAATTACGACAAAATTTACAAGAACTCGTATGCTCACTCTTCGCCCAAATCGTCTTTGGTGACAAATAAGTCTACAAAATGAACAACTCTGTAAGTCTATCAGTGATGCCGACCTCATTAGTTTAACCGGACACACCTTGGCAGAAGGCGCTCGGAACATGAATGAGTACACATCCCCTTTAGCTACTAGCCAGCCTAAACCAAACGCTTCTCAACATATCCAGAACTTTTAAAATGCACCTTCGAACCTACTCATCCCTGACTTCTGATTTGACTGAGTTGGTATATTTTAATCGTGAAGGTTTTACGGACAAAAGTGTTATTAAGCCCTGAATATCCGTAGAATCTTCATGCTTAAATGGTTGTGGACGGAATAAAAGATGTTCACGTTTGAAGGGCCTGCGTATCTAGTAGCAAAAGATCACGGATGCTCCAGATATGAAACTAAGTTTATTTAGCAAACAAACGACAAATGTGAGTAAATAAACATAATTTCCTGAGTCCTTAGAAATATATCAAATTCCTTCTCAAAAGACTCTTGGGAAGTTGTTCTGACCAACTTGGCCGACAGTGAATCTCGGAACTTTACAACGTGTAAAGAACAAGCGTGTCTGCAGTTCAGTTTGCTATTCTGTGCCAATAATTTTCTGACACTGACCCCAAGGTTTATGAAGGGACTGACAGTAAGCATGTATAATAAGGGATGGCCAGAAGTATTTATGATGCTATGGCATCCTCGAGTCGCTTATATGCAAATTGGAAAAGACTCAGTGACTTTGAAATGAAGAGAGAAACACTATATTTTCATACTCTGAATCACTCCGAATAAACTTGAAAACTAGATAGTAGGTTATTTGTTGATTGACAAAAAATAGTTTCAGTTTTACTAGTGTGGGACTTGCTCATAGAGCATTTTTCCGCAGTTAGTGTAAGTATCCTATGTCTTTTCAACCTGGAACACCTCTAGGACAAAATTGTCTCACTTGTCTGTGTAGTTTGAAACATGTCTAAAGTGAATTAGTTTACAGTTTGAGGTGTTGAATGTGAGTCCGTTGTTTTCCGCCTAACTTTATAGTCAAGTCAGGTACTTCTGAAGTAATAGTTTGTTGTCATGTTAGTAAACTCCTTTTCATAATCTAACATTATTAGCGAGAGGCAGTAACCAAGACGATGCTTCGTGAGGAAAGTCACTCTTATCAATCCAAGAGAGTTTTTTTATCACATTATTCTCCTTTGAAAATTGTTGCTATATGTTCCAACATTCAATTCTCCATGATCACGTTGTGGCTTAAAGAAGAATATTACACTATGAGCTGTTGCCAAGATTGAAGTCACTCCTCTAAATATTTCATAGAGAACCATCTCTGGCACGGGGGCATTGTTGTTATTTAGATTCTGCAGTTTAGGTTTACTTTTTAAACTTTTAGTAAGTTGAAGGTAAAGCCTTCTTCGAGTTGTGTGTAATAGCTGATATGTTTGTAAATAATTTTTGCCAAGCCTTTATTGGGATCACCACTGATGCTAAGTGGATTGCCGTAATCTTACTTACTTACTTACTTTCGCCTGTTACTCCCAATGGAGCATAGGCCGCTGACCAGCATTCTCCAACCCACTCTGTCCTGGGCCTTCTTTTCTAGTTCCATCCAATTCTTGTTCATTTTTCTCATGTCTATCTCCTTTTCTCGGTGTAATGTGTTCTTTGGTCTTCCTCTACTCCTTTGGCATTCAGGATTCCATGTGAGGGCTTGTCTTATGACACAATTGGATGCTTTCCTCAATGTGTGTCCTATCCACTTCCAGCGCTTCTTCCTGATTTCTTCCTCCACTGGGATCTGGTTTGTTCTCTCCCACAGTACATTGTTGCTAATAGTGTCCGGCCAATGGATCTGAAGTATTTTGCGTAGACAATTGTTAATAAACACCTGTATTTTCTGGATGATGGCTTTTGTAGTTCTCCAGGTTTCTGCCCCATACAGTAGAAATGTCTTGACATTTGTATTGAAAATCCTGACCTTGGTGTTGGTTGACAGTTGCTTTGAGCTCCAGATGTTCCTCAGTTGTAAATATGCTGCTCTTGCTTTGCCGATCCGCGCCTTCACATCTGCATCAGATCCACCCTGTTCATCAATGATGCTGCCCAAATACGTAAGGGTTTTTACATCTTCCAAATCTTCTCTGTCAATTTTGATTGGACTGGTGCATTCTGTGTTGTATCGGAGAATCCTGCTTTTCCTTTTGTGTATATTGAGACCTATTGCTGCTGAGGCTGCTGCCACATTGTTCGTCTTCTCCTGCATCTGTTGTTGCGTTTGGGATAGTAGGGCCAGATCGTCTGCGAAGTCTAGATCATCCAACTGCATCTTAGATGTCCATTGTATCCCGTGCTTCCCTTTAGATGTTGACGTCTTCATGATCCAGTCGATCACCAGGAGAAAGAGGAAGGGTGAGAGTAAGCAACCTTGCCTGACACCGGTCTTCACTTCGAACGACTTTGTCAACTGTCCTCCATGCACGATTTTGCAGTTTAATTCATCATAGGAATTCTGTATGATATTGACTATCTTCTGAGGCACGCCGTAGTGTCGAAGAAGTTTCCATAGTGTTGTTCTGTATACGCTATCAAATGCCTTTTCGTAGTCAATGAAGTTGATGTAGAGTGATGAATTCCATTCAATTGATTGTTCCACAATTATCCGTAGAGTTGCGATTTGGTCTGTACACGATCTATCCTTACGGAATCCTGCCTGTTGGTCACGAAGTTGGGCGTCTACGCAGTCCTTCATCCTGTTTAACAATACCTTGTTGAAGACTTTTCCCGGTATTGAGAGAAGAGTGATGCATCTGTAGTTATCACACTTGCTGAGATCGCCTTTCTTCGGTATTTTGATCAGAAGTCCTTCTATCCAGTCTGTTGGTACTTGTTCCTCATCCCAAATCTTGTTGAAGAGAATGTGGAGTATCCTTGAAGTTGCCGCTACGTCTGCTTTTAGTGCCTCTGCTGGGATGTTGTCCGGTCCTGCCGCTTTGCCACTCTTGATTTGTCTGATGGCCATGCTGATTTCTTCAATTGTTGGTGGGCCGTGGCCTGTGGAAGAAAGGCTGAATAAAGAAATAAGGTTTTCGGATTGGAGATCAATTGGCTTGATTCGATACTGGAGCCAATTTTCTCCTAGCTTCTTTGCGCATCAGTTCGTTGCTCGTTTAAACTTCCTATGTGTTTTTATCGTTGATTCTTTAGCATTATGTCAAGCAGTACTTTTCAATCTCTAACATTTAAAGAGTGCGGCCCCTTGAGATTTTAGGTTGCTTGTAAGTGTTGGGGACCGTTCATAGGACAGACAGGTTTTCAGCACGAAGACCATCCTCAGTAAGAACTCCTAATTATTCCTCGTATCAGATTGAGGGCAGGCTTCTCAACACACATGCTGTAGGTTGCACCTCAAAGCCAGAATGTTCGACTGTTTGAAATTCTAAGGCCTGTAGCCTGTAGAGCATTTTAGCTCAACTTTGAAGATAAAATTGAAGGCGATTACGGTGTGATCACGTTTTCTGTTAAGAGTCGGGATTGCGAGGCTGTCAGTTAAGGAATCTTCATCTGTTGAAGTGTCTGATCGATTCTCTATCAAACGTCTGGCTTCATATTTTCAAATAACCCTATTTCTCCCAAGGGATTAAGGAACCGAGCTTCAAATAAGTCACAAACTTCACTGTGCGTGTATTTAACAACGTTTGCTTTAAGAAGATCAAGCCGTCATACGATTAGGATATCAGCGTGTCGGATATTAGTAAGACGAGACAGTTTCTTCAGAATATGACTATCGTATTCGGTGTCAGCGGTGGGCTTTTTGTAAATGACTCCAACTTGACATCCTGAAGTGTTAGACAATCTTACTACGGAACATACAGATTTATCAACATTGATAAATTCTTGGATGTGCATTTGATGTGTAACTAAGCTGGAGCGAAAGGATAAAGCAACTCCTCAAGGGATGTTCTGTCAGTAGTAGGCGTAGTCATGCAGGTAATATAGGCAATTTTATTAGAATAAATAGTATTGCAAGCGAAATGATACATTGTGATCACATCACCTCATAATCCTTTTATTCTGCACAAGCTACAAATTTGTATGTATCGAGCGAGCTTATTAAATTTTTTTGAGTTAAAGCACATTCATTTTTGCTCCTATTCAAACACAGCCATTTTCCTTTTAAGGCAAGGACATAATATGTGCCTTCACCTACTCACAAGACCTTGAGTAGACGCCGAAAGCGATTTTGAATAGTTTTGTGATTCACTGTATCTGAATTCCTGGAAGAATGTCACAAAGCTTGGAAGAGGGAGATACAAGGTCTGATAGCAGCTCACTTACAACTGAGTTTGGTCACATTTAATTTGGTTAAGCCCTTTTGTTAACTTATTTAGCGAACAGAGTCATCCGTACTACAACAAA